GGGTTGGTTGTAAACGGGACTGCCCAGTATGGGCCAATAGGCCCGCTGCAGTTTCCTCCATTCTTATGTTCTTATGTTCTTATCCAACTTATGTGGGGGACCCCCACACCCCCCCCAGTAACTTCGACCACCATTTTGCTGAAAAATCACACCCAAAAACAAAGCTAAAGGTAAAGATACTTATTTACAGTGTACTTATATTGTAGCAGATGAATTTTGAGATTATTGTAGCAGACAAATCTTGATGAATCTTCAGTTGGAGGACAAAGGGGGCCTCTTAAACTTACTTTGCTTTCAAATTTGCTTTCTGTTATACGATTTAGTTTTACTTATGCACAAAAGCACATGAGGTACTTTGTGCACAATGGCAGAGCATACCATACAGAAAGCTCAGATCAAATAACAGTGACCCCAAATGAATAATTAATTATTTAAAGAATATTTACTGGACAAAGGAAGGCTATAGGTAGAAGAATAAATCGTGAAGTTTGCCTCCGAGATTATTATAAGGTACAGTAGTGTTGGGATATATCGCGAGATAGGGTCCAACGATGTTTGCTATATCCTAACCCGCGATATATAATAACATGTAATCAATGGGGAAAATAGGGTTAGGTTCTGGAGGCCAAAAAAGTGACTAAACTTGACATAACGAGTTTATTTTCTTATTAACTAAAGCACCAATGATCACGAGACTCAGGAACAACAGGCTGTTTCAATGTCAGTATCAATATCAAGGAACACCAGACTAGGCAGCAGACGCCACACTGCCACCCTCACTTGAAAATCCCACACCTGCTTAAACGAACACCAAAAATATTACTTACAGTATTAAATCTTTTCCATTAAGCTTTCCATTATCTTCACTTCACTTTTCACGTCACTAGCAACCCATTTACAGTCACCCTATAAGTCGTAATCTGTAACAGTCAGCTGCTTTCTCATCACTCACTCAGAAAGACTGAGCGGGCGAGCGTGAATGCGTGAGTGAGTAGCCACAGAGGCGCCTTTGGTGAGCAAATAACCCATTTGTTTGCCGTGGCGGTACATTTTAAATATATCCTGCTTGATTTCCCACGCAAAAAAAAAAAAAAGGCCATATCGATAATTTTGGCAGCTGCGATATAAAAAAAATCGTTATATAAAGTCGTGATATATATCCCGACCATACTGTATTGGCCGGTAGGGTTAAGACTGAAATAATAAAAGCAAAGAGGAATAATGAACTGAAGGTAGCAAGGGAGCCAATGTCAAACCCCAAGGGATTCTTTCAAATGTATCAAACTAAAACACGAGAAAAGATTGGACCAATACAGTCAGATACCGGCGAGCTAACTGATAACAACTGAGAAATGAGCAATAATCTGAATAAATATTTTTCAACAGTTTTCACCACTAAAAATTTGAACATGATACCCGAGGCACCGACTACATACAGAGATAGTAGTGACTGGTAACGACGTTAGTAAGCAAGTAGACAAGTTAAAGCCTAATAAGTCGCCAGGTCCCGATGAGATATTTGCCAGAGTATTAAAGGAATGTTTGGAAGAGCTTAGTATGCCCTTAGCAAAATTGTTTAACATGTAATTAAAAACAGGTGTAGTACTGTACCATAATCCCGGAGGATAGCTAATGTGATAACGATTTTCAAGGAGGGATATAAATCACTATCATCGACCAATCAGTTTAACATCAATTGTAGGCAAATTGCTGGAAGCAATAATTTCAAACTCTATTCGAAATCACCTGTTAGGTAACTACATGGTAGGGAGTAAAATATCAGCTGTTCAGGAGTGCTTGGCAACACTCATTACCACTCCATCTCTCTAATCACCCACACCTTTCTGCTTTCTCACTCCATATTTTAAAATGTTATGTAATGTAATGTTGAAGGAATGCAACTGTGCTCATTTATACTTATCACAATCTCTCTAAAAATATTTTAGCCTTTGTCTTTATTCAAGAAAGGGTAACCTGACATTCCATCAGAAGGTCAGTAATACCCACTAATCCCCCACCCTACCTCTACCTGACATTGAGTCAGGCCAGGTTCCCCCCCCCCCCCAAAAGTTACTTTCATATTTATTCAAGACATTTTCAGAAATTTTTTCGATTTTCAACCTTGGAAAATTTGTTCCTAAAGCCGGAAAATTGGGAATAATTTTCTGAGAAAATTTCAATTCCGGCTTTTGGAGATTTCTTGATTTGGGGGATTCCAGATAACAGAGATATTACTGTACTTAGTCTAAGAGGTGTAAACAGAGAAACCAGATATCAGATGAACAACGTTGTTATAGAGAAATCCGACTATGAGAAAGATTTAGGATTAATGATAAGTAGGAATCTTAAACTAAGACAACAATGTGTATTTGGTTTTAACAAGGCTAACAAAGTACAGTACTTACTTGGGTTCATACAAAGGAGTGTTAGTTATAATACTAGCGAGGTTAACCTAAAACTATATCTTGTGCTTGTGAAATCTCATTTGGATTACGCATTTCAGTTCTGGTTACCGTACTACAGAATGGATATAGAATCCCTAGAAAGAATTCAGAGTCGTAGAGTGAGGGGCGACATGATCGAGGTGTATAAATGGAAGTCAGGGCTAAACAAAGGTGATATAACAATGGTACTCAAATTATCCAACCAGGAGTGAACTCGTAGCAATGGTTTTAAATTAGAAAATTTAAATTTACGTGCTTGTTAGGTAAACATGGTTTGGAAATAGAGTAGTGGATTAGTGGAACAAGTTACCAAACATCATCATTAACTTGAATACGCTGGATAGCTTCAAACATAGGTTGGATGGATATATGAGCGATAGGGGTTGGGTGTAAATGGGACTGCCCAGTATGGGCCAATAGGCCTGCTGCAGTTTCCTCCATTCCTATGTTCTTAGGATCTTATGTTATCTATACAGTTACCCTTAAAAGTGGCATTTATTTCTTGGTTTAATCACTGTAGCAATAGAGGATGCGAGGAGGGCAGATCGAGGGTTACCACCAATTCTGACTGAGGTGTAGGGTGAGTGATAGCGGACCCACAGACCCTATTGATAGTCTAGCTAATGGGGGTTTCTGACTTATGGAAATACAACTTACTGTACTACAGGTTGAACCTCCCTAATCCGGTACAGTACTCTATTGTCCGGCACCTCTCGTCGTCCGGCAAAATTTTAGTTTGCCGGACGGCCGCTAGCACCCACCGGCGCTAGTATCCATGGTTCGACACACCCTTTGTTTACATCTGGTCCTCGTGAAGTTTGGTGCGTTCCTCGGTATTTCAAGTGTTTCTGTAATATTTCACTTGTTATTTACCCTTAATATGCCTCATAAGCATATTTATTTTATTATTTCATTTACTGTACAGATATATTTTTCCTCTTTTCAGGTGAACATCACCAATTTAAGTACAGGTACAGGTACCGTAACTATTTTGTCATTTTAAGTGCAGAATGAGAATTATTGTTTATCTATTTTCGTTTATTACAATTACACTGTACAGTAGAACGTGCATATAACACGAGATATGTTCCAAGAGAGGTTGATTTAAACCGAATTCCCACTAAATCAAAGTGTTGTTTAAATGGAACGATTAGTTTGGTACTTGAGAGAAACACAAAATACTAAAAAGACTGAGAGTCTACCCAGATGCACCTCTGCCCATCTCCTAGAATAAACAAAACATTGTTTTTTGTAGTACAGTGGGGTATGCTATAACGAATCTAATTGGTTCTAGAACCTTGTTCGTTATAGCTTTCGTTCATTATAGGATTAATCCGTTCCAGGCCCCCAAATACAACCACTTAACACTGAAAAATATAATATAAAATTGTAAAAAAAGTGCATAAATATGCATCTAAACCCCTGAAATAAAGAATATCATTAATACTTGTAATAAAAAAACAATAAATTAGTAAAAAAAAAAAAAAATAATAATAATGTTTGTTGTATAAGTTTCGTTCGTTATAGCATTCTCAATTTTATAGGTAAAACCGTTCGTTATAGGAATATTCGTAGTAGAATCCATTCATTATAGCATACCCCACTGTATTATGTTAAAACAAACACTCATAAATCAACACAGCTAAAATTACTGTAAGGGATGCGAAATGGTCTGTTTACTGGCTGGGAAGATGGGAGAAGAGAGGGAGGTGATATGTTTGACAGTTGATGCCAAGGTCTAGTACTTACAGTATTTATTTATCAGTCCTTAAGAGTGACTTTAAGTTTTTCTCTTATAAAATGTCACTGAACTGACATGGGAGAATATAATTAACATTGCTGGAATTCTTATAAGATAGTGATTAATTTGAATATAAACATGCTATAGTTTGCACTAGACAAAAATTTTAGTACTGTAATCATTTAGTACATTATTTTGAGTACTGTACAGCACATGTACAGTACAGCTTTGCCCTTAGGACAGTGTAATGTGCCCAGAGAAACATTAGGCTCCAAATTTTAAATATGATTCGCCAGATTGACGCATCAATAATACTATGTATTTTACAAAGACCGCCTGTGGTTCGGAAAATTCTATAGTCCGGCACCGGTCAGGTCCAAAGGGTGCCTGATTAGGGAGGTTCAACTTGTACTGTACTATTTTCTTACAGGATGACTAAATAATGAATAAAAGTGCCAAAATTGGTCTTAAAGATTAAACAAAAGTTGCAGTTACTTGGAAATACACATGATTTTCCACCGCCGTCTCCATACGAAAAGTAAACATTAAGCGGCTAGCAAATACCCCCAGCACAATGATAATAAAGTAACGAAAATGGCTGTTGTAAGGTGACAATGGTTAACTTATACATTCAAAGGAAGATATTGTTAAAATCTATAGTAAATGAAACTAAATATAATTGCACTCAACAAATACGTTAGCATAGGCTAGGGGCCCATTTGACAAACTGGGCAAAATGAAGTGTCCAGTTGGTGAACTGTTTGTGTTTCACTGGCTGAATAACTTGTATTAATTAGTTGTTGTACATCCCTCAGGTACCATAGGTGTGGATAAGGGAGCCATTGAGATAACTAACTGCTTCTGTGTTCCTCACAATGAGTCAAAAGAAGAGGTAAGTCAGAGCTTCAGGTGTGTCATTGTTTACAGTCATCTCTTTTTCTATTTATACTTATGTATTTTTCATATTTTCACTTACAAAAACTCAAAATTAAAGTTTTTAGTTCCTTTTATTGCATGAATTTTTATCCCTTCACTATGGGAATGACTTTTTAATATTGTATTTGGTTAACACCAGATGATTTTAGTAAACAGAGAGGTAAGTGGGTTTTGAAAAATATTGTATAGTGCTGTATTTTGGTTTCTTGTTACAGTACTTCTCATGTTACTTGATTGGACAAGAAAGTATGAGGGACAGCATTGTGAGACACTGTAATCTAAACAAGTTGTATTATTATGTCACAGAATGGTCAAGCTTTGTGTTTACTCCAGTGGTAAACTAAATGTTGTAGTCTTCCTCCAGCATTATGAGATCTTGTCTGAGAAAATAAATTTTGACACGTTCAAATACTGGACAGTACTGAGTTTAAGTCCGATATTGTATAATGTACATTCCCAGACGAAAGTTCTTCATACCGTCAAGGTGGAGGAAGCAAAGTCTGCCCCACCCTTACTGGATGGTGGGTCCATTGTCATCCCCCTCGCAGTTCAACAGTCGAGCTCTGATACTTTTATTTCTCAATAAGGACTGGAAAAGGATGTCATTGTTTTGTTTAATAAATTTACGAAACAATTTACCCAATCTGTTTTTACATTATTTGAGATAAGAGGTTAGATCATTATTAGATAATCATGACATATTTTGTTACAGTGATCTAAAAGGTGTTTCTCTCATTGTGTTTATTTGTTTTCAAAAGTGTTTTTCCCCCAAATTGGATTTTCTCATTGTACAAACATGATACAACTAAAATGGCCTCTGAAAACAGTTGAAAGAGGACAAAACAAAAGGTTTACTTAATCAATGACAAGAAAGTTTAACTGCCTTTGAAACATGATCGTAATAAAGTGGCATTAAATAAATCCACGAAAAATTTTACTTACCGGTATAATCCCTGCGTTTTTTTATATCATTAGACACCAAATACATGCTGTACCTATGTGAGGCCTGCTGGTGGTGCCTAGCAATAATGTTCTCAATAGGCGGGGATATCTTTGATAAACAGACACGCATGTCATCTTCAATGCTTAACCCCCCTCTCTCTCTCTCTCTCAGTAAAATATCAGCTGTTGAGGAGTGCTTGGCAACATTCATTACCACTCCATCTCTCTAATCACTCACTTCTTTCTGCTTTCTCACTCCATATTTTAAAATGTTATGTAATGTTGAAAGGATACAACTGCTCGTGTATACTGTACTTATCACAATCTCCCTAAAAATACTTTATGGTTCATGTTTATTCAAAACATCTTCAGGTCATGAGACCCACTAATCCATCACCTAAGAAAGGGTGACCTGACATTCCATCAGAAGGTCAGTAATATGAGACCACTAATCCCCCACCCCACCTCCACCTGACATTGCATCAGGTCAGGTCAGTTACATGAGACCCAGTAATCCTCCACAGCTCTATGGGAGTGGATAATACCAGTTTTTAATTTTCAAATATATTTATTTTACTAAACTTTTAGATAAACTATTCTGTATTATAGTGTAGTAAATAAATGGAGTTTCTAACTTAATTAGAACTGCATTTAAAGACTCTGGTAGTTTAGCCTCAAGGAAAACATCCCCAGCACCCAGAAACATTCTGGGGAAGTGGGGTAGTGTGTCTGTGCAAGAGGTCTAGTTTAGACAATTGGAAACTTTTCCCAGGAACCGGAAAAGATTCCGGGGATTAAGAATTTTTCCGGGTTTGAGAAAGTCGTCTGGTTAGTGGGAAATCTCTCGTCCCTAGAAGTGCTCTGCACCAATTATTCTGGTTCTTAAGTAAAGAGGTAATTGCTCTTTCATTTCACAACACTGATGATGAAGATGGTAATTGTCAGAAAGTTTGGTGGAAATGAAAAATAAAGATGTTAATCATAGAGAGGAATAGGGAGTAGGTTTTTCTAAAGTTATTTCTTCTACGCTCTAGGTTGCAGTGGAGCTGGACTTTGCTAAAGATATGTACGAACTACACCGCAAAGTAAATCCCGGCGAGGTGATTGTGGGGTGGTGGGCAACTGGCCACGAGATCACCGACCACTCTCTGCTCATCCACGACTACTACTCCCGCGTCACCAACAACCCCATCCATCTCACTGTGGACACAACTCTGCACGGAGGCCGCATGAACATCAAGGTAGGAATGAAACAGGTTAAGGAAGCATTTTGAGGGTCCTCTAGGTTATATAGCACTTTCATGCCTCTCTTTCTAGTGTATGTAGAATTATGTCATTTAGGATACACAGTGTTTAAAGCAAAGTGAAAAAAGGGGAGTGCTGAAACATTATAATAATATTACGTTGTTTATTATGGATTTTACACACACACACACACACACACTACATCCTTTACCACCAGAGGGTCAAGACCTATTCAGGCGCTGCTCCTGCTGAGCAGCGGCCCTCCTTGGCCATGTTGGCTCATTCCTGAATTCCCTCTCCCTGACCCATCCTCACCACCGGTATATCTACATAATAAAAAATGACAATTTCGTTTTGGAAAGAAGTGGGATCAGTGTTGAACAGTGTTTAAGCCAGTGAAGTCAGCACTAGACAGTACCAGTGAGATAAGCACCCCTTGGAACTGACCACCATCTTCTGACCAGGAGGTGCTAATCTGTCCACCCTGGGAACAACAGAGGGCCGGTTATTCACCTGACTATGAAATAACACATCACCACCAAGCAGAGTGAGGTACTGTGACACCACCCCACACCACACGGGGTCCCCATGTCCACGTGAGGTCCTTCATGTCAACACCCGAGGACGATTTACTACACCACGTGAACACCACACCACCTGGTGTCTCAATGACCATGTGAATTCCCTCGTATCAACACCCGAGGAAGTTACTACACCATGTGAGCAACACACCTCCTGGTGTCTCAATGACCAGCCCAGGTCAGGGCCATCAACTGTAAACTATAATTATTTGTATGTTCAATTCACGCCTTCGGGCTGCAGAACTTTTTCAATAAACCGTTAATTATTATTATTACCGTTAATTATTATTATTATTATTCAGTACACACACACACACACTTTTTTTTTTTTTTTAAGAATTGTTGTAATAATTGAATGTTTTGGTTATCAAAATTAGATGTGACGAAATTAAACTGCAGAGTGTTAAAAAAATGACAATTACCTTTGTATTGCTTAGGACAGACTATGACAGAATAGTATTTTAGAAATGATAAAAACACTGTTATTATTGTGAATGTATTTATGGTCTTATACTTGCCATCAGACAGTGAGTGATGTAATGTATGTTAATACCCAATTTACACTGATATAAACTGTTTTATTTGCAGGGATATGTTAGTGCCAGCATGGGGGTTCCTGGCCGCACCCCAGGCACCATGTTTGCCCCTATTCCGGTTGAGGTCATCTCCTATGCACCAGAGATTGTTGGAAGTGAGTCCCATTTTTAGGCAAAATTTTACCATATTTTATGGCATGTAAGATGCATTTTTTCTGAATAATGGTTAATAAAATCAGCCTGTACCCTATATGTGAAGTTGCAATCTATTGTAAGCTAATGAATCCCCCAGTTGCTGTCTCCAGTAGGCTAAATTCTACTAAACCCAACTCCAGAATTAAAAATTTTATTATTTTTTTTAAATACTTATTGTAAATATAAAAGGTCGATTTAAAACTACTGTACTGATGATGATAACCTGAGACGATTAACATCCGTATGGCAGACACCCAACTCTTCAGTAACCATTTCTGAACTCTTACAAGCATTAGAATCTGCTGTATTAATGCCATACCTGCATCATTTATTTTTCATTCTACAAATACCTGATACAAATGAAGATTTACAAACAACTTTCTTTTCACATTTACATCTGTTAACATTGCTGGCAGCATTGTTGCCAAGTTAGACTTGTCAATGTAACCAGGCTTCTGGGCCAAGCTGTTGTTTTTCAACTCTTATTTTTGGGTAGATATATATTACTTTCTTCATTCATTTTTACTGATATACATGCACACACCATCCTACATACATATTGTGAAAAAATTACAAGAAATAATTTTCCTAAGGGTAAACACATAAAAGGAATATACATTTCTTTGCACAAGTTAGCTGGCTTAGTGGGGGAGCAGGACGACGGCTGGTCAGTTGGTGGTGTGGGGGAGCGTTGCTAGGGAATTGGTGGAGGTAGCTTCGCCATTGCTATAGTAAATGGGGAGTACAGTACAGATGTACAGTACTGTATATGGAAATGGCGACTATGTTAAACTTTCATTTGGTTTTTATTTCCTGGTTTGGCAATAGAGTATTTTTTGTTGTAATTTATTTATTGGTATAAATTATATTTGTTTCCCATATTTACCGGAACTGTATATTATTTATTAAAACTATGGATACGGGAGAAAAATACACAAGTTTTTTCCTAAATACACCCGTCTTATGTGCCGTAAAATACGGTATTGAAACGTAAGTAAATAAAGTATTCAAATAAAAATTAATTTTATGTAGTTTTATTGTTGTGTAGCTGAACTTCATTACTGTCTACTATAATGCTAAACTGAGCTTTTACCAACCTAAAATTGTCGACATTGTATTTTAGTACCAAATAAGACACTGCAGTACTTTTCTGTTTTGGGAAAATTTTATGGTTTTTTTATGATGTTATTAGTGTTATAATGTTATTACCACACTTCAGTCACTAAGATTTATAAGACTTTCTACATTCTTAAATATATGATGACTTAAGGCTATAAATAGAAAACAGTAACATCAAGTCAAGTCTTACTGCTCAATCCAAGAGGTAATTGACCTGGTTTTCCTCCCTCCTCCTTTAGCAGGTTTCTTGACCTTAACTGGCAGGAAAATGTGAGGGCTAAAGCATGGTATACTTGTTACTTATGAGTTGAGACAAGTAAATTGGTCCTTAGAGTTGATCTTGATGAACCTATGATCTCACTGACTGCTTAAGTAACCATACCATGGTTCTGTGGGTGAAGAGGTGTTCTGCAGTAATTCCATTGATGGCAGAAGAGTCACTGTAACTTGCTGTAAAACATAAATTGAGACTGTTATTTACCTGTGTTGAGGATGGTAGAGACGGTCTAGGGTAGCAAGTTTAATTCTCTACCAATCTTTGCTGGTCCATCACCACTTTTATTACATCTTATTATGTATTATTACGCCTTATCACATCACATCAAGCTGCCCAGCACAAGAGGAACTATCATTGGGGCATTTAGGCATGATTGAGTAACACGCTAAGTCAGAAATAACGAAAAAACACCAAAGTCAGAGACACATAGTAAGTGTAAACAAGAGCAAAGATGGTGGGAAGGAGTCAGGGCAGTGCACAGAGTGTTCTGGTGGCAAGCATTTGCACCACGCCGCCACCTGCCAAATTAAAAAAAAATTCTGTTGCTCCCAATTGTCATACCTCTGGGATATCAAAGAAAATTGTGGGGTCTTTCCCTTGTATGTAATTGTCTGTTATGCAAAGCAGCGGTTAATGGGATGCTGGTTTCGGGGTACATCTGTACTGCTTAAGTGTAGCAGAATAATGGTACTATACTGTACAGACTTACTTCAATAATCTGTAGATTATGTTGAATTGGTAAAACATTAGATCGTTGGTCATCATAAACATATAGTATTTATAAATTTGTCATTGTATCTCCCTTACAGAATTCAGAACGTCTCACAAAGCGTTTATGAAATAGATAATTGATAGGGAACCTTGGAATTTGAAATCAAGTGCTTGACAATAATTCAGATATATTTTTTCTTCAGCAAATGCCACCCAGAAGAGCAAATACAGTAGGCAGCGTCTAGTGGATCCCACGACTGACCTGCATCAAATTTCTGAAGCAACCCAGAACATGGAGGCAACACTTGAGACTCTCATCTGTAAGTACTGTACAGTATATGAAGGCTAACATGGCCTTGACTTAAATATGAAAATGTGAATGTTATTATCCCATTTATTCATTAATACTTGTTTTGCTTCATGTCGTGCCTGTAACGTTTTATTAAACATAATTTTAAGTAGAATAAAGTTTAGAATAGAAAGGTAATTATCTGATGAGCAAAACGGTTATAGAAAGGGAAAAGGAACAAGAGAAGCTATGTTTGGTTTGAGAATTTTGAGAGAAATTTTTATATCTGCTCTGTTGATTTTGAAAAAAGCTTTTGATAAGATAAAGCACAATAAACTTAGAGAGATCTTGGAAAACTAGGCATTAATGAAGGAGACATTACTGGCAACAAGAAGCTGCAGTGTTAGTAAATAAATGAACTAACTAATTGGTTCACAGTTAGACAGGGAGTACGACAAGCCTGTGTCCTGTCTCCAAGTTTGTGTAATATATGTTCAGAATTCTTTTTTTCTTTACATTACTTAAAACATATATATTAATTTTTTTACATTAAATTTACTACAGCTACAACCAGGGTCTTATTTTCTTCATTTTCTCGTGTAGAACTATCGTCCCGGACTCCCAACTGTAAACACAAACGAAAATAATGGCGTCCAATCTCTTGTTTGACCATATTATTGTTCATTTATATTGTATAAGGTGCATTCAGAAACATTATTTAAAGAATATAGTTTGTAATTTTCATTAATTGTATTGTTTTGGGGAGAAAAGAGGGTAAAAAGCCACACAAAAGATATGAAAAGGTCACACTTGGGAACGCATCTCATTATTATTGCGCGTATTTTCTAGACCGAAACGTTTCCGTCCCGTACCAGAGCGTCGCATGGCTAAGCACCCACGCCGTAGAGCGCTTAGTTGGTGTTTGGCGCAGCTATTAAATTGATTCACGATAGATAATTTCAGTGTTAGTTATTTTATATGTTTATGCAGTGTTAACATAATCCAGTGTTTTATTTTTATTCTATATGTTTAAGCAGTTCTTTTGATGTTTCGATGTTTTAGTATCATTTGTGTCTTAAAAGTTTTGATAGTGAGTCAATTTGTTGTGACAGCCTACGAGTCTCTTTATTGTGTTAGTATTTAATTTAATTACATTCTTAAAGGTTTACTTTATTTATTTTTATCCCCTTTTGATTTACTAAACTTTTTTTTTTTGGTTACGCCTAGAACCTAGATATTAAAGTTAATTAAGAGACGGCCATTTTTTATTTATTTTTTTATTATAATTATTAGTTTTGGATTTTTTTTTCTATTCCCGTGTGTGTGGGGGGGGGGTGGTACTTCCAACAGCACCCTAACCCAGGGCTTGGAGGCCGATACGGGGACCGGCAGAGTTCACAGATGTTGCACATGTGGAGGGCTACATCAAGTGCGGGAGGGGCGGCAACAGCGTCTTTCTGGCGTTGGCGCTTGTCTGCCTCGGTTTGCAGTCAGGCTAACTCAAAAGTGTTGACACCTTCTCGTGTGGTGCTCCTCCAAGCGTTACAGTATGGAGTAATCGAGTCCCAGGTGAGAGGGTCGGTTTGGCACTTTTTCAGGTTTGTCTTGAGACTATCCTTATACCTTTTACCTTTTCAGTTGCCCACCAGTGTTACATTTACTATTCATTAGGCGACTGTAAAGTAGCTGCTTTGGCAGTCTACTGTTGTCCATGCGGGTAACATGACCAGTCCAGTGTAGGTGTTCATGGATAATGGTAGCCTCGATGTTTCCACAGTTGGTGTCAGTAAGGATGCTGGCATTTGTTCTTCTGTCTTCCCAGCGAACTCGGAGGATGGAACGTAGATTACGTTGGTGAAAGTTTTCAAGTGCCTTGAGGTGCCTCCTGTATGTAACCCATTACTCCCTATATAGCAGGGCGGGGTGGACCACTTCTCGATATATGTGTAACTTTGTAGATAATTTGAGCTCCCTATAGTTGAAGACATGATTTCGGAGTCTGCCAAAGGCTTGAGATGCACATCTGATCTGATGCTGAATCTCTTCATCGATGTCCACGGTGGTGGACAGGTGGGAGCCGAGTTACCGAAAGTGGGTAACATTAGAGAGGGTAGTACTGTTAAACTGGCTGGATGGTGGAGGTGTGTCTCAACCAGGGGCAGGCTGAAAGAGAATCTGAGTCTTACGTACACTCACCTCGAGGTCGAAGTGTGCATACGCATCTGTGTAGGTGTTCAGGATCTCCTGTAGGTCGTGTTCAGTGTGAACAACAAGAGTGAGATTGTCTGCATACTGAAGTTCAGTAATGCATGCTGCCGACACCTTTGTTCCTGCCTGGAGTCGTCTTATGTTGAAAAGACCTTTCACACGGTACTCGATGTCCACCCTACCGGCTAAATTACCACTGGCACGAGTAAGGAAGGCAGCCAAGAAAATGGAAAAGAGAGTTGGTGCCAGTACACACCCTTGTTTAACCCACATTTGGATGGGGAAGAACTCAGACTGGGTGCCAGTGTGCAGGACACTGCCATTCATGGCATCGTGGAGTTGCCTCATTGGCGATGAATTTTTTGGGGCAGCCAAAATGACTGAGGGTCCACCAGAGGGCTTCCCTGTTGATCGAGTCGAAGGCCTTGGTCAGGTCAATGAAAGCAATGTACAGGTCACGACGCTGTTCTCTGCACACACACACACACACACACTCGCTAACTAGTGAATGCTTTGAATTCACACTCGAGTTCAGGGTTCATACCTCAGGGGGAGAGGAGATTGGCAATGTTAAATGGTAAAGTCAGGAGTGCAGCCAACTGTACTTCAGCTGCAAAGTGTTGGGGATTGGGGTGAAACATGGTGCACCTGTACACCCATGGTGTTTGTTTTAAGTGGGCACAGCTTTTCCTGCAAGAATATCTTTGTTCAAAAAACAGCAGTGTGACCCCCAAGTGTGTAAGAACTCCAACAGATATGACATGAATTGCAGAAAAAGATGTTAAGGAAATTATTGTTGATGGACACAATCTCTCTGTCAGTTTTACAAAGTGTAAGGATCAAACATTAGATTGATTTGTAGAAACACTTGGGACATTGAAAATGAAAAATATGAGTGGAACACTAGTGAGTTGTCTCTGTAGTTTTTTTTAGATGTATGCAGGTAGTAGGGGGTATGGTGAATGGGGTTATACAGTAACACTTTTCCTTATTTTCCATAACGACATTAGTTTGCAAATGCTGCTTTTTTTAACAGTGATTCTTCAGGAATGTGTGTGTGTTATTAATTGTGAGGGACAACTTTATAGTTTAATTTCCATAAAAATTTTTTTACAAGTACAGTATATCTATATTGAAGCAGTTTACCTGTTATATTAATTACTGTCGGTGTCAGTGTAGATTATAGGAGATCTGTGCTTGTGTTTATGTCAGACATATTTTTGTGTACTGATACAAAATCTGTCTTAATTTCTTCTCATTTTCATCTATATTGATACCATTCAAACTTTTTTCCTTTTGTCATAACTCCTAGATGATTTAGTATTAACTATTTGTTTTTTGTTTTGTTTTCATAATAATTTAATTTGCCTTAAAAATTTTTGAAGTAGATGAGGGATTGTTACAGGAGTTAAATGTACAGGTTAGTTTGTACCACATCAAGGGTCTTTTGGTACCACTAATGCTCAGTACTGGTACCACATATTGAGTGCCATTCATCTAATATATAAAAAATATGAACAATATGATCTCCAAAAATGGATATGGATTTGATCTTTCAGCATACTGCTCAATATGTAAAATTTTAAACTACAGTACAGGTATTTTGTCTTTACTCTATTTTAAGCAGAAAAACTGATGCGGTCTTATAAATGGGTTAAATATTCATGTGTATACCTATGATTTACCTTTTTCTCTCTGGGAATAGTCCACCCGGGCACAGGTCACCGACTCACAATGGGGCCTCGGGGGGGTAAAAAATAAGAGTAAAAAGAAGTTAAAAATAGAAAAGATAAAGATTATATTATCTACACCGCGAAGATGCCAGAAAACCATCTTTTTGAAGTGAGACAGATTGTATGAGTATGGAAACACAGAAGAAGGCAGAGTATTCCATAGTTAGGCTGTGTGAGCAGAGAAGGATTTATTATAACGGGTCATTCTAGTGTGACCGACATCAACAGAGAAACTGTGGGTGCCGCGGGCAAGACGGGTGTTACGAGCTCACGACCTTGCCAAATCCACTTAATATCGCCCGTTAAAGTACCTGTAAGAGAGAGAGTGAAGCAACATTGTGGCAAAGAGAAGGTGAAGAAAGATTATCAATTAAAGGAGTAGTTAATGAGACGAAATGCCTTTGATTCCACCCCATCTAACAGTTGGACAGAGGAGGAGCCACCCCAGATATGAGAGCAGTACTCCAAGTTAGGACAAAAGAATCCCTTGTATACTTGAATCAACTGCTCAGGAGTGAAGTAGCTACGGCATCTGTACAGCATTCCCAGCTTTCGGGAGGCAGCTTTAGCAATGTTGTGTATGTGTGGCTCCCATGGCATATTAGAGGAAATGGTGAGGTTAGCATATCTATTTTAGAATGTGGCAGAATGGTAGCATCCTGAAATGTGATTGGTGGGAGATCATCTAATTTGGATGGTGTAATTGGTAAATACAGGGTACTGAGTTTTATTACTATTGAATTAACCAAGTTTCTACCTCCCCATTCAGAGATGCTGCACAGATCTGCATTGATAGATGTAATGATATCGGCTCTTGAAACAAATCTAGTTTGAGAATTAGGGGGAAGGGGAAAATGTGAAGAAGAGTGAAGAGTAGAATCATCAGCGTAAGAATGGACAGAATTAGTCGTCGTGTGAAGTAAATCATTGATAAAAAGAAGGAAGGGATTGGGTGAAAGAACAGAACCCTGTGGGACACCACTATTGGTAGAGAAAGAGCGAGAAATCGATCCGTCGACAACGACTGCCATGGATCAGTTCTCAGGGAAGCTAGAAATTAGAGAACAAAGTGGGGGAGAGAAACCATAAGAGGGAAGTTTAGAAAGCAAAGACTTGTGCCATACCCTGTCAAATGCTTTGGAGATGTCGAGGGCCACGACGAAAGTCTCCCCATATTCCCTAAGAGGGGATGACCAAAGAAAAATATAAATATACCAGTTGCACATGATCAAAGAAGTATCTGTGCATCTGACACCACAGACAATGGATATGGCAAAATGGCGTAGTAAGTACTGTATTGTTATTATATGCACATTCAGAAGAAAATGGATAAATCTTGCGAATAATGTATAGTGTGGTTTATGGTGGTTGTTACGTTACAGCAGTGTTGTAGGGCAGGAGGGGCACACTCCGAATGTCAAGGACAGGTCTTCTTGTCCTAACATGTTACTGAAATTTTGGCAAATTACTTCTTTGATAACAATTTTCAGTCTTATGATATGCCATTTTCAAATAATACAATTTATTGATTTTTTATTTTATCTGATTTTATTCCTATTATTTTTTCTATTTTTAATATATTTAAGTGCAAAGCCGGCTGTCAGTTCATGTCTTCAACTTCTGTAAACATAATCAGACACATGTTCACTGGCTCAGTGTCTTGAACATTAGTGTGTGAGGTTTGCTTTTTGACAGATGTGGGCCTAGTGGCTTAATACAGATCTTTTATATTATACACCATAAACTATTACCAGTAAAGTTATCAGCTTAGGCTAAAAATTTCCATATTTGTTTTGACAATTTCTTTTAGGCCAAGAACAAAAGAAGAGGCACCGTTTGTGAAACTTGCCCAGGGCACAACAATACCTGGCTGTGGCTCTCCATTGCAACGTAGATGTATTGATAGTTTAGGAAATCATCAAACTCAATGTGCAGAGATACTTTTTTGATCGTGTGTACATTTTTTTAATGAAAGTCACAGAGTTGTTTATGGTTACTGTTTGTAAACTGACTCCTTCATACTGTACATGTATATCACACCTTCCTTCCCCATATTCCTCTGTACAGAATGCAGTAGTCACCTTCCTTAAACTGACTCCCTCATACATGTATATCACACCTTCCTTCCCCATATTCCTCTGTACAGAATGCAGTAGTCACCTTCCTTGAACTAGAACTTTGCATTGCTTACATTTTCATCAGTCTTTAAAACTTAAATTTAAAAATATATTTACAGTAACTTAAAGGGGTTCTTGGGAGGAGGATCTCTCTTCTTTCACTTTACTGTATCCCCCCTCTCAGTTTCTTGTATTGATTAGGGCAGAAAGCTATTACATGGGATAAATTATACCTTAATAATTAAATGGGTGTGTTTCTCTTCAGCCTACGTTGATGATGTCCTAAGTGGAAAAGTACCAGCTGATAATTACATTGGCCGCGAGTTGACCAGGATGGTAAACCAGGTTCCCAAGATGTCTGCCCATGACTTTGAAGAAATGCTGAACACCAACATGAAGGTACTTAATAATATTTCTTGTGTGATTGAGTTGTTATTCGATGTTTGCAAAGTAACAAGAATTTTAACAGTATAATTGACCAGGATATGAGTGAATTACAGTTGATCGTAATTACATACAGTGGTCCCTCGGTTAATGAGCACAATCCGTTCTAGAAGTTTGCTCGTTAACCAAAACCATTGTTTCAATGGGTTTTTGGGTAATTGGTTCCAGCTCACCGAAAATTGCCTAAATTCAACAAAAAAGGTAGAAAAGTACACTTACTTTGAGGTGTGTATGTAGAAGGCTCCTGGATGATGATGATGATGGGAATTAGAATGGGGGTGGAGGAGAAGGGAGAAGAGAAGGCATTGGGGTGGAAGAGAAGTCACCCCATGGCACCGTTTCACCCATAAAATTTTAGTTCTCTTGGTGTAATTCAAGATTATTTTCTTTAAATCAACACTGCACTGCAGTATATATTGTCAATATGTAAAATAAATTTCAAAATGACCAATAAAGTGCTTGCAAACACAGATAAAAGCATTTAGTTGAAGAGAGTCTCAAGCAAGATGTTACCTCCACTGAAAAGACACAAAGACTGACGCCTGTATGGTGTGTTGTGAGGCTGGATGGCGTGCCACAAACTAGTGACCCTACCTTCAATTATGTTAAAAAATTGTTAAAATGACTAAAAAATTTAATATAAAATTTTTAAAATTATTGAATAGTATAAACTTCTTGATATTTGCTAAAGTGGTAAGGAATTTAAGCCCTAGAACCGATTACTGTATTGGCGGACTAATACTACAGCTGGTGAACCGCCAAATGCAAGCGAAAACATGTTCATGTCGGCTCGTAAGAAACTCGTTAACCGAAGTTAAGAATCTTATGGAAGGTAACTCGTTAACCGAAATCTCGTTAACCGGGGGACCACTGTATAGGGGAAATACCCCGCCAGTTTCATTGAAACCCCAGATATCCAACGATCGGGAGAAGAGGGGCAGAGCTGTTTTGAATTCGGTGGGCGTAAGCGTGGGGCGAATTCTTTCTACAAGGGGGCGCTTCGTGCTGCCTCTTTTTCATTCCTGCCACCTTTGCTTTTGTTTACACTTGCCATGTGTCTCTGACTTTGTGTTTTTGCGTTATTTCCAACTTAGTGTGTTATGCAATCATGCCAAAGTGCTCCAGTGATGGTTCCTCTTAGGGGCAGCTGATGTGATGTGATAATGTGTAATAAGAGTGGTGATGGCCCATCCTCAACTCAGGTAAATGAGTCTGAATTTATGCTTTACATTGCTTATTTACCTGCCAAGCTAATTATGCTTGCTTTATACAGTATTATCTGCTCTATTTTCCTGCTTGCCAGTGTGCACGACAGAGATAGGGTAGATGAGAGTTTTTGGAGGTTGGCCAGTTCCTCATCCCCTGAATTTGTTATGTTGTTAAGGGAATAATTGCTTCGATAACCATTGATTCACTAACCAATGTCTTTTCCCAGTCTCTATATGCATCGGTTATCGGGGTACACCTGTATGACCAATAAATTTAGGGTAAGGCCAAGAAATTCTCCCTTAGGGAATTGGGGTAAATTTTTTAGTTAAAAAAAATCACGATATAGAACAAAAAATTTCACCGAAATTATCAAATTTATTTTGTGTTGATATCTTGCTGGTTGCCACAATACGGTGGAGAATGTTGCGCATACCCACGCCAATGATGCTCAGTTTGATTTCCAACCCCGGTTTGTTTGGTTTAGCGTCTGTGTTCAGGACTGTGTTACTGTTTACCCTTATTCAAGATAAGTGGAAAGAGGCCATCAGGTTCAAGTGAAAGCAGTGGTGCTAAAAGATCCCGTAAAGGAATTATGTTCGACATTAAACTTGATATTTTAAGGAAGTAACTCCCAGTACTTCTGATTGCACCACCACTCAATATTGTTTCTGTTGAGTTTAATTCAAGTGCTGTGTGCATGTATTATCATGATACATCATGAAATAATCAATGTATGTTTTCATAAATTTTTATTTTCATTCATGTGTGTACTTGTATTATGTATTTTTGCCAAAAGTATGTCCATGGGAAAGCATCTCTAATTATATAGTGGGAGTCAATGGGGAAATTGGTCCATCGTTACGGTAATCCACGATATGGAAACATTTTCAAGTACACATTCCTTCCTTAACCTGGGGGTTGCCTGCATTTGGGATGGAAAGAACATGAGCTTGAAGGTAAAGGAACTATAGGTGTATAATACTGCCTGCCTTAACTTAGGCCAGTGAAATATGGACAAAGGTGAATTACTTGAGGGTTGCATCTAGGGTTACCAGAAAATTGTATAGGGTGTTCAGAATGGTATAGAAGGCTGTAGGCGTAAATAGTGGATTGGTGGAATGTATTTATCTGAGAGGGGTTCACTGTCATGATATGTAGCTGCATGTGAGGATGTAGGAGAGAATAGTAAATTGTGCTTACACAGGCAATGTAGACACTGTACATTAAGGGCAGGACAGGGAGAGAGATAAGGAGACTAGAATTGATAAATGAGATACAGTGGAGTCTTTATAATTCACAAATTACAATTTTGCGTTCTTAACCTGATAGCTGGTAGAGTGATTCGCAGTTCAACCCCTCGGTGCTCTCAAAAACACGTATACGGCCACTCCTCGACTTAGGACCACCCAGACATACGACCGCCTCAGTCGTACCAAACTTTTGTCAAATTACGTATTTTCAAGTCCCGGCGTTAATGATTGCGCTGTGTACTGATAAAATTTTCATTTGTAATTCACTTTAAAATGGCTGGTAAGCTTAAAAGTGAGAGTTTTGTGGTGCTGAGAAGAAAAAGAGACACCCATTTTAGATTTTCTATGTATTATTTAAGCATTTTCAACTTATATGACCAATTCGACTTACGACCTAGATTTGGGTCCCTAACCCCATCGTAAGTCGAGGAGCAGCTGTATTGATTTTCCCCGAGCATCATTTTAACTCTAGTGGATTAAAAGACAGAATGTGGAAACCAAATATGAGTCCAGTACAGGAGAGGTCCCCGACTTACAAACGGCCGCCGATATGAACTTGGGTTAAACTTGAAATTGACATACAGTATAGTCTCGGTTTACACGGTCAATTAAACCCGTGGAGGTCCGCATAAAACGAGAAACACGTAAACGAAATAACAGAACATATGGGATTAATTGAAATAGAGACTGGGGCAAACCCCAGACTACCCTTTTTCCGACACAATACGTACGTTGTAGTAAAAATAACTTCTTAATTTTATGATGGTATGCACACACAATTAATATTTAAGAGAAATATCAATAATATTAGGTTTTTTAACACTTAATAAAATAACAATAATATTAATAAACGGTTTATTAATAGAGTTGCAGCCGGTGGCTGAAAATATACAGACTTACATTTGATTTAGACATAATGATATAATATGCGTTGAATACATTTACAGGGCTGTACAGTACATAAATCAGGAGTTGTTTATTATTTTAACAATAGATGGGATGGTTAGCTGAAGAGATGGCTGGGCACACGGGGATGGGGGGTTGGTTCCGAAGCAGAGGGCAGATTATTGGCCCTCACCTGTATCACTATCCACCACAGAGGCTTGCAGGGCCTCTGTCAAACCCCTCAAAGTCCATATCCTCACTATCACTGACTTGGGCTGGCTGTGGTGGGTGGCGGTGAAGAACTCGGTAATGTTTTGTTGACTGGGCGACCTAGCGCGCACCCTGGCCGCTCCGCTTCCCGTGTAAATGATGGAATGTACCGCGTAACTAATAATTCCCGATCTGGCCAGGTGCCACGTAAATCGAGACTACGGTATACTGTATTTTATTTACCTGATGACTTATTTTTTACTTTCATTTACTGTATTTTGTCATTCTATTTCTTCTTTTGTCTTAAATTAAGTAATTTTAGGTGCACATAAGGACTTAGGCTATGGTATCGTGGGATTATATACATTGTATTGTAAGTACGGTATGCATATGGCGTGTGTTCCGACTTAAGATCGTCCTCAGGAACGGAACCAGTTCGTAACCCGGGGACCCCCTGTACTTCCCTTAGTTTGGCCGCCAGTCTCTCATCGGGAAGAAAAAGGGTTCTCACCCCTATTGCCTACCCGAACACATGACTATTTGACATTTTCACTAAAAGTAAATTTTGTTGAAACTTTCAACATCACTCAATAGATCTTGAATGTTTCAGCTATAAGTAGGTACAGTATTATATATGGGATTTTTTGAAGTTTCTGAAATGGAGGCTAGAGAAAACGTACGTCTCAGTGAAGGGACCCAAGAAACTGGCGAGTGTTAACATCCTATACTTGACCCAGCGAGATATAAAAATTTTCACGCGCTACATTTACAACACTCTGAATTCCAGAATGTATGTCATACTCCTCCTCTTATCATTCGAGAATGTGTATCGTAGTTATCAGGTTAAATTCGTGTGTATTTCTATTTTAAATTTCGCAGTCAAATATTCAGAATTCAGGTCTGGTGCAATGTTTTTTACGTAAGACACCATAAAAGTTGTGGAAATATCATTTCATTGCTCTGTTTTGCTTAGGAAAGAAAGAAAATATGAAAGTTAGTACAGTAAGTAAATTGTTTGTGGGATGTAGGGTGGTTGGCTAGTGGACTGAGGCACCCCCCGCCCCATTCCCGAGCCAAGCGCACACCTCCGACCTCATTAATACAACATTATGAATTTCACCATAATTCCTATATTATTTATCGTTAGGTACATTTGGTACCAGGGTAATGAAACTTTATTGTAAAGTAATGAATTTTCACAAAATAATCCCATATTTAAAAGAATTTACCAAATATTATGAAACCTGTACCTTTATACACATACATTATTATTATTATTATTACATATACATTATTATTATTATTATTATATTATTATTATTATTACATACATACATATTATTATTATTATTATTATTATTATTATTATTATTACATACATATATAATATTATTATTATTATTATATTATTACATATTATTATTACATTATTATTGTTGACATTATTATTATTACACATACATATATATTACATACACATTATTATTATATTATTATTATTATTATTATTATTATGCCATTATTATTATTACACATATTACATACATACATACATATTGTTGGCCATTATTACACATTATTACATACACATTACACATACATACATACATACATTACATTATTATTACATTATTATTACACACACATTACATTACATTATTACATACATTACATATATACATACATATATTATTATTATTGTTGTTATTATTATTACACAGATACATGACTCGCATCATATTGATGTTTCAAATTTAATTAACAAAAATTTATGTATCTATAAATAAACTTTTAAAAATGAATACTTTATGTTTTACATACTCCTGTGCATACCATACCATGCATTTGGCTACTTTGGGCTTGCTATGATGACGCAAGAGATCTGCCCTGGCAACTGTACCGACACTCACAGCGGGTGGTGCGTTGGTGCATCGTTTCCATTGTTTACTGGTAGTTACTGGTAAATTTTTTTCAACCTAACGAAACTATTACCCGTATAGAGGTCGACCCCCAACTTTTTGCCCAAAAATTTGGTCTTAAGAACTCGTGCTATACACAGGTATATACGGTATATATATATATATATTTATATTTGTGATGCCATATGGCAGCAGGGTCTACCATTAGACAACATATAGTGCTTCCAATATCTTCTCAGGCAGTATTACCTCCCTGTTTGATAGCTGCCTACATCTACATATATTGAGTCAATATTTGGCCCCGACTGCACATACCACATTATCAGTTATCACTTTCAATCGACATGAATAGTATTTCAGGCAGTTTGTTTGCCAGTCTTTCTTATGTTCATGCAGAAAATGAATTCATCAATGGCAATGACAGGTGTAGAATTGATTATAGGAGCCAGCAATAATCTTTGTGTGTGGCACAGGTAACTGCTGGGACATATCTTCTTTCTACTAATTTTTTCTCAGTTCATTATTTTGTGGACATTTTTAGTATTTACTGCCTTCTTTTTCAGTATTATCATTTTAATTATTTTCTTCCTGTTGCAGGATCTTCTAATGGTCATCTACTTGTCTCAGCTGACTAAGGTCAATGTGAGTCTGAATGAGAAGCTGACAATGCTGGTAGCAACACAGTAGATCTTGGATTTTATATTAAAGAAACAAGGAAACCAAAATGAAAGATTACTTCTCCATGATCTGAAGTTAATTTTGTTTAGAAAATAAAACCCCTAATGCCAATACTCAGCATTTTTTTAATTATCCTAGTGGTGTAAATATACATTGAATTCAAAACTTGCCTGATTTCTCTGAAGTCAGGCAATGGATGAAGTCACTGGATTTACTGTTACTATTAGTGTTTACTGATATAATAATGCTTTATAGTGATTAATCATGGCACTGTAGCCAGGTTAGACTGCAACACACCAGGCTGGTCCAAGCTGTGAGGTGTTATGGTTGTTTTTCAACTCATTTTTGGGTAGGTTATACAACTTTCTTCATCTATTTTCACTCATTTACATGCACACACCATCCTAAATACAGGGCAAATCTGTACTCAGTTGTACTAAGTTAATTACCCGGTACTAAAAAATTTAGTCTAGAGCAAACTATGAGATGTTTGTACTTAAAGAATTGTACAAGAATTCCAGCAATGTAAATTATATTATGCCAAGTCAATTCAGTGACATTTTATAAGTGGAAAACTTAAACTCCTTCTATTTGATAACTATGCACTTTGTAATCTCCCCTCCCTGACAACTGTCAACACCTCACCTCCCCCTTCCCCTTCCTCCCAGCTGGGGTGAAGGTACTGTAGCTTTAGGAGCGGGTTCAGATACATTCAGGAGCCGGTGCATGCCCAGTACTTGCCAACAGTGCGTAACAGACGTGACCGATCGCCCAAGCGGCTAACGAGCCAATCAGTGGTGAAGAGTATAAAAGTGAAAAGTCAGGCTTAAAGTTTTTATCTTGTAAAATATCGCTGGCTACACTTAGCAGAATATAACTTGCATTGCTGGAATTTTTTTAAGATGATGATTAATTTGACTATAAACATCACATAGTTTGCTTTAGACATAACATTTTTAGTAATTAACTTAATACATTTGAGTACAACATGTGTACAGTAAAGTAATATGGTGCTGAAAATTATGGCTATTTCACTTTTAATTTACATTTAATATTTGTTTAATTTAAGTTTCTAGCAGTCCAAGGTGCTTTAGAGACACAGGAGGTGTATAATTAGTGGGTCAGAGGTGGATTGTTGAATTATTATTACCTGACCTCAGTTCGTCCAGCAAAATGGGTAATCCGGCAAGGCTTTAGAACCAAGAGTGCCGGAAAATCGGTGGTGTACCTGTGCTCTGCTATACCTCACATATTCATGAAAAGTAAGTAAATTCTTGTGCTTAAACTGCAAGGAAGACTGGTGTGAGAATGGTGACTAAGGTGGTGTACTGTACAGATGAAACTGGCTTGATCACAAGGTTATGTTTCTGCTAACCTCATATCACAGCTGATCTCACTGAAGATAGTTATGTAGTAAATATAGTTAGCTTGCTTATTAATTTAAAAAAAAATTAATTTTCTATTTGTATTGGTATTGGCAAAGTATCGGCCATTTCAAAATATCGGAGTATAGGTTTGAAAATGAATATCGGTATCAGCAAAAATTTGGTCATCGGTACAACCCAAGTTAAGGACAAGGACTAAAATCAGTAAGGACACACACTGTAACGTCATAAACTTTAGCTCCGCCTCATTCAATGACATCACACTACCTCTGGTGATCAGATGTTTTTTTTTTTTTAATACTTGTAAGGTTCAGGCTTTTCTGTGGCCAGGTATAACAAAATGATGCCTTACGTTCTCATAGTCCTCCCCAAAAATAAATAGTATAGAAGCCAAGACAACCTCGGTGTTGACACCTGAAATCCACATACGGATTTACTTAACTTTAATTTTTTCAACATTATTAAATATGTTCAGAGTTCATTTTGGCCACATATAGCAAGATGAATGTCTCACCTTCCTGTATATACCTGGATATTGACAAATATTTCAGAATTAGGGAAATACAAAAGAAATATGAACTCTCTTCAAATAAGTTCTTGACTAGCCTTATGTGGTATTTATTTTATCAGAGTGCTTGCGGACCTTTATCAAAAGTTTTCTTATTTCTGGGATATCTGTAATACCTGACGTGCTCCCTGCTTGAGATTTGAGCTTTGGTGGTGCACCCGTATACAGGTATTTCACAAATAACCATAATTGTCGATACACTGGTCCCGGGACCAGACGAAGGCACACGCGGAGGTCACCAGATATTGCGTGTTTACAACAGTAATGTTATGAGCTGTGCATTGTGAGTAAAACAAGTGCTTGGTGAACTATCCTTACTAGTATTTTATCCTTGGTTAAAGATACCCAGTTCTGATTCACTTTAATGATGAATTTAATGTATGTAAAGATATAACTGTTTAAAATAATAAACTTTCAAGATATAGTTGGAAAAAAAATTCAAAATACAGTAAACCTGTGATAATTCGGCCTTGCCGAGTCATCGCAAATTCCGACTTATCGAGGCACCCCCCACCCTCCCCCCTCTACAAAAATACAACAATAAAAAATTATTGAGCCATATATGTGTACAGTCAACCCTCGCTTTACGCGGTCCCACATTCTCTGCTCACATTCTGAGAGTGTCGTGGCCGCCTATTTTGGGTCGCCCCACCCGCCTGCCTGCCTGTACTCCTAGCCTCTCTCCCTCCTCCTCCCTCCGCCTGGAAAAGCCTCGCGTGGGGATTCATGATGTATGTGTCTTTGTTGCGTTATCACAGCGTCATATAGCGTATCAGACTATGATTGGCCATGCATCCCTACCCCCCTCTGCTGCTAGCTGTAATTGGCTTGAAATGTTATGGCGGTAGCCCACCCGGGGAGGGGAGGAAAACGACGCTTGACTAACCCATGACAGTTTCATCCCCTCAGGCCAGACCGTGTCAGCGTGTATCCATTGTGCCAAAATGGCTTCCATGATTCCACCGCCCAGAGAAACCTTTCCTTACCTGGACCGTGACACTAAGCCAAAAGAAGACAAGCCGTTCCTTAAGCTCTGGTGTGAAGTGCAAGATCATCCAAGAGTTGGAGAAAAGGAGCAAAGGCAGGATTGATTTGGCTGGCGCCAGCATGGTGTGAATGAATCTCTGATTAGAACAATAAGAAGGATGCAGCCAAGATAAAGGAGCACATAGAGATCACAAAGGTCTACAGGTGGCTTCTATGATCAGAAATATTTTCACAACCAGGTTATACTCCAAGACAGAAAAAATTAGCAGCAGTGCCGAGTGCGTCAAGTATGACGGAACATGACTCAATAGGCATACGCTCTATTAGTCATACGTGAATTGTACATTGCAGTGGCACGAAAGATGGGAATTACAGAGCCCAAACCCCTTAATGCTTCCTCTAGGTGGTTACAGAGGTTTAAGATCCGGAACAAGATCACCAATATAAACATTGGTGGTGAAGAAGCGTGTGCTGACCGTGCTGCGGCTAGGGAATTTCCTCCGTTTTTACGTGAGATTATGGAGGAAGGACAGTACAGTGACGACCAGGTGTTTAACATGGACGAATCTGGTCTTTTCTGGAAAAAGCTACCTTCCAAGTCCTTCGTTGTAAAGAATGCCAGCAAGATTCGGGGCCGGAAGATGCAGAAGGAACGCATCACCGTCCTGTTTACCACCAATGCCTCCGGTACCAGTAAGCTCAAGTTATCGGTGATCCACACAGCACGCAAGCCGCACGCCTACAAAACCATGGACATGACCAAGCTAAATGTCCACTGGCTGACTGCACGTAAGGCGTGGATGTTCTCTACACTGTCCCTCTCCTGGTTTGATGACTGTTTTGTTCCCGATGTAAAGAAATTCTGTGAGCGACAGAATGTGCCATTCAAGATTTTGTTGCTGCTGGACAACGCACCAGGACACTCGCCACTACTGTTAGATCGTCACCCCAACGTAAAAGTGGTCTTCCTTCCTCCCAACACTACGTCTATATTACAGCCCATGGACCAAGAGTTAATCTGCAATGTGAAAGCTGCATACTCTGCAAAGAAGTTCCAGCTCCTGAACGACTACACCAACACCAGGGAAGAGTTGCGTAACTTGAGTGACACCACCACCGATAGCAAGAGCGAAGAAGATGAGGATCAACAGTTGGCACAGCAAACAATACTGTTCAAACAATTCTGAAGAGTATTTAACATCAAGAAAGCTGTGGACTTCTTGGTGGAGGCATGGGATCAGCTGTCGATTGCTACAATTTGTCATGCATGGAGACATGTGTTGCATGGAATACCAGGTGAGAGGAGGAGTCAGTCTGTGACTGGTGAGGTTCAGGCTGTTGCAGTAGCAGTGGACCTTGCCAGAGAAGCTGCGCAAAGTGTTACAGTTCCAGGCTTCTCCGAGACCACCAACGACGACATCATGGAGGTGATAATGGAACCTGATGTGACTACCGAGGAGATGGTACATGATGATGACGACGTCAGTGAAGAGGCAGGTGGTGCGTCATCCCAAGAAGAACAACACTTATCCCATAGTAATGTTAGGGGTGCCATCGAGTGTATCGAGAAAGCCATGCTCCTCCTTTCCGACGACCCTGACGCAAACAGGTATGAAATCTTCACTACCCAGCTGTTGCAAACTATGGAGCCCTACATCAGGTGTATCACGACAACATCAACACCAGCTGTCAGCAAAGCATAACAGATTTCTTCGCCCGCAACCCACCACAGCTTCTACGCCATCCTCGACACCGGCTCCTACTACCACCTGAGATCCCTAGCCCGAGAATTGCTGTTCGACACCACAACCGCATCCAGCCCATACGTGCACGAACTGATTGCTATAAGAACAGCCCAGTCCCAACCATTGTAAAAATTATCAATAACTTGTAATAAACCAGTGTATTCACTCCCAGTAAACACTACTTCTTGCACTGTCACTATGTTGAAATGAACTGTAGTTTGAGCTTTTCCCCATTTAGTTATTATATATCTTATTTGTATCACTTTTGATACTTGTATATTATTGGTAATTCGAAACCCATTCCCCAAAAATGTAACTGTATATTTTCAGCCTTCTGACTGCCAAGCTCTTTCAATAAACCGTTAATTATTATTATTATTATTATTATTATTATTATTACAGCCAGCCCAAGCCAGTGATAGTGACAGTGAA